CCTGAGGGTGCCCCCACCCTCAGGGTCCCCCTCCCGCCGGGCTCTGGGGAGAGGAAGGGGTTAAAATCTTACCTTTCTCCAGCGCTGGGGGCGGGGAGCTCTCCTCCTCTTCTCCTCCTTCATAGCGACGTCATCGGCTGAATGCGCATGAGCGACAGGAGCCGAGCGCGCATTCAGCCAGTTCATAGGAAATCATTTACAATGCTTTCCTATGGATGCTGGCGTCTTCTCACTGTGATTTTCACAGTGAGAAGCACGCAAGCGCCTCTAGCGGCTGTCAATGAGACAGCCACTAGAGGCTCTAGAGGCTGGATTAACCCTAATATAAACATAGCAGTTTCTCTGAAACTGCTATGTTTATAAAAAAAAAAATAGGTTAACCCTTGCTGGACCAGGAACCTAGACCACTTCATTAAGCTGAAATGGTCTGGGTGCCTATAGTGGTCCTTTAATAGACAGAAGGAGTGTGGAGACCGGCAACAACAAAACTGCTATCAGAATTCTAGGTGCTGTCTTTTCAGTGACAATGGCACTAATGCATGTAAGGGCCTTTTGTCAATAGCCATAACATCAAGCATGCATACAGAATGCTGGGTTATTGTTATTGGAACTGCGTGCTGTCTGGAATGGAATAAGGGAAACAGAGAAGCTGACTATAACACCTTAGAGGGATCGGCAACAACATTTTACAGGAACGATAGGTTGACGGGGACAATGCTAAGACAAGGTTACAATCTAGATGACAACTTACCTCCAGGTGTTCCAATAACCCATAAGAGAAGACCACAAGTGTGTATCAGTGTGAAGAACAGTGTACCCACGTGACCGCAGGTTATACATTAATAGTATAATCTCTTAACAATGCATACTAACCACCATAACCACTACAGTTTATCCCTATGGCTATGGTATGTTGGCTTTCTTCCCCACCTGGTATACTGCAAAGTCAGACCATAAGGGCAGCTTCAGAAATGTGTTTATTGACCTTAATAGAGAAAAGAAAATCCATGATTAAAGTATAGGGATATTTAGGAAATTATTGTGTATACATTTCACTGGCTAAAAATGTAGCAGATTTATGCCAATACTTCATACATCACGCCTCAAAATACAAACGTAGAGCGAAGTCAATTAAACAATAGTCTAGCACACGGTGAAAACATTTAATAATAATTTCGAACAAATTCATCCCCCCAATTTTTTTTTGTTTGTTTTGGGCGAGTTAGGTTTCATCCATTGAGTTTTTCAGTTTGGGCAAATTTCCATGGAGTCTTTTTGGGAAAAATGATTCAGACAAGCCAAAATGGCACAAAAATTCACCAATCGGTTTACTGCGAAATATAAATCTTATTTTTTTGGCACCAAAGATGGAATTCTGAATCACAAAATAAACAAAATGGTTCCATCCCAGGTCCGTTTTGTGATTTATTCATATAGCCTTGGCTGTGTGACCTTTTCTCCACCAAGTTGCAAAGAGATAGTGTGGAAAACAGGAGGCAAGTTATACAAATGTATATAATGTATATTTATTCAATATATAATATTGAAATAGGTTGGTTTTTTTCCTGTTTTTCCCACTATTGCTCCTGTCTCACTTGATCTGTAAATAAAATCAACATTTAGTGACTGTCTCATAGCCATCAATCCTATTTTTTTCCCAACAACAATTTCTTATTTTGGAGCAATGGGTGAAATTCAAATTATTGACCACCTCGAACATACTCAATATTGCGCAGTTCAGTTAGTCCAAAATTCCCGTATATTTCGTCTCGAAATTTTGGAATTCTGCCAAACACCCTATCAGCCCAATTTCTAGAAGGCAATTAACTCATAGTAGCTCACTAATAATGGATAACCCACTGGGTGAAAGGTAACTCCAGGTTGTTACGTTAGTAAAGGTCACAGTGTCATGGGTCAGTGTGTTAAGTTAGGAGATAGGTCATTGTGTTTAATTAGGACAATCTGGGTTTTGCTGTATTCAGATTTTTGTCTGTACTCTTACTTTGAATACATATTTGAAGTGTTTCATTGAAAACAGAATAATGTGGTGATGTCAGAAACGTTACTATTATTAGTGTAAAGTTCTAAAAGGCTTCTAAATACTAATAATCCTTTCAAAATGTAACATGCTGTAATCTCTGACAATTTAGCGAAATTACAGACTGTTTCCTTTCAGAAGGATTACTGATATTTTAATATTTTCAATGGCCTTTTTGAAATTTACTTTTCATAATATATATATTTTAACCAACTTTTAGGACTTTTCACTAATAAAAGTTAAGTTTTGGACATCACCACATTATTCTCTTTCCAATTTGACTAAAACCCCTGGGCCTGGCTGTAGACCATTAGAAAACCATTAGAAACGTATGTGAGGTTATATACAAATGTACATGTTTCCATATTATTCTTCAACTTTATTTTTATTTCCAATTTGACGCTGCATCTGGGTGAGTTCACTAGAGCGGTTGACCTAACCTGGGAGATTTAATTTAAAAAAAAGAAAAATTATTTTTTTGTCATTCCAATTTTGGGTCCTGGATACCAATTAGTATTTCATTTTATATTGCTATTTATCAAATGATGAGGTAATTTCGGGGTTAAGAAATATCAGCATGCAAGAAAAAGTAAAGCCAGTACTTTATAGAGCTGTTAAAATGGGGAAGCGGGTGTGGTGATATGGCAATTCAGGATTCTGCAGTGCCATATGACCAAATGGGATGGGAGACCTGACTGAGGGATGTGAGTTAGGTTGAGCTAATTATCTCCAGGGTCCTCTGTTCTTATCATACAACACAATATCCTTGGACATTCCAAAGGAAAGGCTAGTAATCCCCCTGTACAAAATAAGTACATCACCAGTTCTAGTGTCTGTAAAATACATGTTGAATTTGCCCTAATTCTTTTAATTTATTTTTTTTGGACATACAATGCAGCGGAGATTAAAACTAACAAATATACCAATTTTGTCACAGGGGGGTATTAAACAGATTCACAATTTCCTTATTTCTGTATTTCCATTTAAAGTCAAGAACTCACTTTTCCTTTAAAAGATAATTAAGAGTTAACTCTTGACTTCAGAAATGAACAAATGTTATTCAAATACAGGAAGTGTGTTTACAATATTCAGAAATGCTTGTAGTTAAAATTTCTATGAAACATGAATGAACCTCATTATAATGATGCCGTCTGACTTTAGCGTGGCATGGTCTGTTTGCTCTCATTTGGAGTTCGTTTGTTCATCACTTTGACTGATATCTACAGCGACAGATTCTGGAACGGCTGCTAAAGGACTTTATTTTTCAAAACATACAGATGACACGGCTATTATCAAGAGTTAGCGTGGCTTTATAAAAGTTAGGAAATGTCAGAGGAACTGCCATATTTTCTAACAAAATAAGTTAAAGCTAAAGGATATCCAAAGTAGTTTAAATAGAGTTTGCCAGGTTTAAATCAACTCTCCAAGCACCGAACACCATGTATGCCCCTGGCAGAGGTTATACTACAGGGGGCCCTTTCCTCCCATCAGTGACATAGCTTCTCCATATTATGTCCATAAGCATGCATAATCTCACTTACATTCATTAAGAAAAAAAGCACAGCAAAAGCTGTTCAGGAAGATAACAGTAGTCACACTGTAGCTTATGTTAGCTTCTGCAGAAGTTTCACTCATGCTTTTTCAGAAATGAAATGACTGCAGCACAAATCCCTTATTGGGTGTGTCTATGTAGACCCCTGTCCTAAATATTGGTTCCATCCTCCTTAAATATATATGTATATCTGAGAAAGAGAGTTTTTGAGTACTCTATCCTTAAAGGGACATTATAGTCACCAGAACAACTAAAACCTATTGTATTTGTTGTTCTGGTATAATGATTCCCTTCAGGAGAAAAGGCAGTGTTTACATTACAGCATAGGGATAACTCTACTTGCCACTCCTTAGATGGCTGCTAAAGCTGCTTCCTGTGGCAGTGCTGCACAGTGTGACTGACATTTAGTGTCTCCTCCATCTGAATGGAGACACTGACATTTCCTCATTGAGATGCATTGATTCAATTAATCTCTATTAGGAGTTGCTGATTGGCCAGGGCTGTTTGGCGTGTGCTGGCTGTGCCCCTCATCCGCCTCCTTGACAGTCTCAACCAATCCAATGCTTTCCTATAGGCTCAGAGAATCACTTCTAATTATGTCATCCAAGCAGGCAGATTAGGGGCAGAGGCAGCAGCTGCAGTCTTGAACAAAAGTAATATTTTACCAAATGTAGGGAGGCAATGAGGGGGTTAAAGGGGCTAGATGTTGGTTTTAACACTATAGGGTCAGGAATACATGTTTGTCTTCCTGACCCTGTAGTTTTCATTTAATACTAGAGGTTCCTGTTTCCTATGGTAAATGAACCAATCAGCAGCAAAGTTTATTGCCCAGATAGCCATTGGTTCCAAGATCCTGGACAACTAAGTGTAAAAAAAAAATCTCTCTATCCCTCTATCCTAGCCTGGTCTCTGATCACAAAAAGAGAATATTTTGCCTTTTACTCCCCTATGAATTGTGATTGGTTGGTTGTTATAGCCATAGCAGTAGTTCTGAGATGTTACTATTAAGAATTCTGGGAGTCCCCATGAAATGTAATGATTCTTGCATTGTGATCACTGTCTAATCGCTAGTGGTGGAACAAACCGAAGTACACAGGGGAACACAGATACTACTGCTCTTCGAGTAAAGCTTTAGACTTCCAGTTGCTTCTCTTTGCTTCTGATAACTCTTGCCATCCACTATTCTAGTTGAAGGGAATTACATGGACATTCAACCCAGGTTTACTGCTCTCTAAAAGCAAGCCACTACGACTGCCATGGCTGTGCAATTTAATGGGTACTGCATCATGGCATCAATATTCTTATGGTGGACAATTATTTCTGAGCTGTGCCGGCTTGAAGATCGTTAAAGATGGTACTTATTGCAACCAAGGAGACAGCATTGCAGCACTGAGGAAGACTATATCGGGAGTCGAAACGCGTCTGCTGTTTACTTTTTATTGGACTTTGGGACTTCTTAATTTCTTTGTGGTGTTTTTAGGCTATATGCCTTTTATACTTACCAATATCACTGCTTTATTGTCCATTTTTAAAATATATTTCTTTACAATAAATACATGTTTTGATTTTATCCTCTCTTATGCTGTTCTCTTCCAAGGATGCCGCTTTAGCCTGTTTAGGCACCCTCAAGCCTACAATATAGAGCATAGGACAGCTCCACATTCTGTGAGTTTTATCCTACATAGGGGCTTATTGTTATATATTTACCATCTGCACTATATATTGTATCTTTGTATTTTAGATTGTTCCAGTTTTGAGAACATCTATATGTATCTACTGTTTGGTGTAGCATTTTTATCCGTTATATTATTAGCAATATTAATGGCAGCCCTCCTACCTTTCTACTACCAAGCACACCAATCGGATGACTCAGGCAGGCTCATAATGTTAAAGGGACAAATATGCCAAACGTTGGTCACGTTCGCTAATCTTTATCTACCTAACAGGCGTCAGTGCAAGCACTTACGTAGATGTCTTTGATTAATTAAAGCTTTCGTGGAGGGCCTGCTGATCGTTGGAGGGGACTTTAACATGTCATTAGGGACACATCATCAGCTACACACACATACCAACTGTTAAGTAGGAAGCGAGTAAATTAAATCTTAGATCAGGCACACCTGTTTGATAGCTGGCGAGTTACTCACTCCTCCGCCAGAGACTATTTCTTTTACTCACCAGCTGCAAAGTCCTACTCCGTAATTGATATTCTCTTCTTAACACACAGATATCTCCATCTAATCCAAGCATGCTCCTATGGTCCCATCACATGGTTGGACCATGCGCCCCTGTCTCTCTTGCCGTTGAAATCCCCTCCCTACCGCACACAATCTCCCATTGGAAATTAAATGACACTTTATTAAATGACACATTATTAAATGACACGGAAAGCACCAATTCACTTACACCGACTATCTCACCATCCATGACCTGGGAGGCACACAAATGCGTTGTGAGGGGCATGATTTGTGCTATAGCTGGCAGAAAAAGGAAACAAAAAGAGGCCACTAAGCAATCCCTCCTGAATGATATTAGAGAACTAAAGATAAATCATAAACACGATCTCAATCTAGACGACTACAATGCCTTGACACATAAAAGATCAGAACTCCAGATCCTCCTAAATGCCCAAATAAAACGCAAGATGCTGTTTACCAAGCACACATACTACTCTCAGGGTGGTAAATGCAGGAGGGTACTGGCTAGAGCCCTCAAGCAAAGACAACAAACCACTTTCATAGCTAGCATCACAAAACCCTCAGGGGACACAACCCATTTACTCCCGGAGATCATGCAAACCTTCCAAGAATTTTACACGTCTCTCTATAATATTAGGGAAACACCCTCCTACCTCAGAGGCCCAAATGACCAACTCCTGGAGAAGAGAATCAAATGCACTATCCCCCCCAACGCTCTCCATTCTCTAGAAGACCCCATCTCCCCAGACGAATACAAGACAGCGATCAAACATCTTCCCTTTTTAAGGGCCTTTAACTCCTTGCTAACTACTCCCAGACTTCCTACTTCTGTACTGGAAGCACACATCACTTTATTACACAAACCAGGCACGATCTGCGGGAGATACAGCCCTATTTTCCTGATAAACGTAGACCTTAAACTATTCACCAAAATTTTTGCCATTTGCCTACGCCCATTCATGCAGACACTGGTCCACCCTGATCAGGCCAGTTTCATGCAGGGTAGGGAAGCAAAAAATAACACCACCAAGGCAAAATGCCTAATTGTGCCGGCCCTGATTGTATCATTACAATTTCACTTGTCAAGAGATGGGATATATTAGGCAGCAAGCGAACAATCAGTTGTTGAAGCAGGAAAATGGGAAAGACAAAAAATCTGAGTGACTTTGACAAAGGTCAAATAGTGATATCTAGATGACTGGGTCAGAGTATCTCCAAAACAGCAAGTCTTGTGGGATGTTCCCAATATGCAGTGATTAGTACCTATCAAAACTGGCACAAAGAAGAACAACCATAACAGTGCAAAAAACGTATAAACAATGTGAACAATGCAAAAAAGAGAATTAGAGGCATTGCTTAATTTCTTATCTGTATTATTTCTCTATGGTAACTGCCAAGTGCAGAGGACAGAGCTTCTAACAACGATTCACAGGGACTTATGATCAAGGTACCAAGTTGCAGGATAAAGAGGTGCGGATCATTACATTGAATCATTTTTATTCACACCTCACAAATACATACTTGTTAAATATATGGATAAGTAATCATATTATCAAAAATCCCAGGAAGTGACACGTTCCCTTTAAAAAATTTTTATCAGACCACTATGTAAGATCGCGGTATAGGAACAATATAAATAAATAAATACGTGTTTCAAAAAGAAGAGATAGGCTGGCTTTAAAAGTACTATTATTATTTTCATTTTTATAGCACCAACATATTCTTCAGGGCTTACTGAAAACTGAACGAGACAGGAGGGGAAAAAGGTCCTGTTTAAATTAAACTTACAATCTGTGAGAAAGAAGTAAAGAAACTCAGGAGGAGAAGAACAGCATATCAGAAAGGAGGAGGGATTGACATACAAGATGCCGGTGTCAGAATAAGTTGGTAAAAGTTTTGTGTGGAAGAACAAACAGTGGAACGGCTGTGGGCTATGCAGAGGTTTGCCAAGTTAACCTGACAGCCGGGGAGAATATGAAATGTGTACCCTCCCCAAACTGTAGAGTGTGTGTTTTATTGTTTTATTTCTGCAATCCCCCTAAAGACACACACAAACACACATTCATACACACACACACACACACACGCATTAATACACACACACATACATTCATACACTCACACACACATTGATACACACACACACAAACATACATTCACACACACATTCACACGTACACACACATTCATACACACACACACATTTGATTCTTGTTTGGACTTTGATCCCTGGTTTCAGTGGCTTACTGCTGGGATTAGTCTGTGTACGATGTTCAGCTCTGTGTAGCTCTCTACTGACACCGGACTGGGGAGATGTTACATCCCAGCTCGCGCCATTAGTAAGGGCATCGAGGGAGCTATTAAAGCAGATCCCTTGCCACCCACACTGCAGTCGGCTAAATTGAATCTGCACAGTACACACTTACTGTGCTGCTCCACCACCACCAACCAAGCACTCTGTTGGTGATGGGCATGATTCACCTAAAATTAAGGTCTTTATTAAATCTGAACAATCAGCAAATTATACATCTGGAGACGTTACAGAGGCTCATCCTGATAGACACCAGGGTTTAATCAGAGATTTTTGGCCTACTTGGTTTTTTATGTTAGACTATTTTGCTACAGTGACTTCATGAAATCATCCGGCAGGATATATTATAATATTGATTGTGTAATCATGCCACTGTGTAATATACTTAGATGCAAAGCGATATACTCATGTGCGTACATCTTTACTGCAGTGTGAATTGCTTTGTGTATCTATGTATGTTATTTGAAAAGCGAAATTAATCTGCGGGTTCCTGTTCACTCTAAGCTGAAAGCAGTCTGAAGATACAGTAACCGGGTCACACGTTGCTCCTGGAAGAAGATCTTCTATACCGATAGAGCATCTCACATTCCAGGGGCAATGAGAAGGCACCATGACAAAAACTCAATGCATAAACAGGAGTGCTCAGAGAAAGGTCCAGTAATGAAGGGGTTAATCCAGTTTAGAGTGAGGGTTCTTTTAATCATAGATTCTGCCTCAGATAGGTGGTTAATTAGGATTACCGTAACCGATATGGTTTTTCATAAACACATAGAAACATTGAATGTGATGGCAGATAAGAGCCATTTAGCCCATCTAGTCTGCCCAATTTCTTTATTTTTGTTATGGCATTCGTAAGGTTAATGCATAGTCCGACATCGTCTACTGCGCAGTGCTGGATGTGAAGACACGAGACAGACTGGTAAGAGAGAAAGAGAGAGAGGTAATAAGGAAAGTAGGAAGAGAGAGAGAGAGAGACTGGTGAAAAGAACAGACATGATTTTTTAATAAGAGACAAGTTTCCGAATTCATTATTGAGAAGTGGAAAGTGAACCATTGGTGATACATGACATATTCTTCCTCTGAGACACAAAAGGACAAAAGACACAGACCTGGTGCTAAACATACACGTTGATACATTGACAGCACACAAACAAACACAGTACAGAGGAGCAACATAGACAATTAGTTACACTGGTAACAAACTGCACCGCATTGATGGGTGGTCATGGTACAAAAGGGGTATTAATGGAGGTAAATGATAGCTTATAGTCAATTTGATGAAAGTCTAGGATATTCACTAGTGAGAATTTTAACTAAATTCAATGTAAAGCCCCAATATAGTCAAACAGAAAGCTTGTTTAACCCCTTAAGGACCAAACTTCTGGAATAAAAGGGAATCATGACATGTCACGCATGTCATGTGTCCTTAACGGGTTAAAGCAGCACTGGCAGGTCATACTTACCTTTTTCCAATCTCTTTCTTCCTCCGTCTTTCATCTTTTCATTTTTCATCTATTTCTAACTAAAAACATATGACAAAGTAGGGATTACTTTGTCTTATGTATTTTTCCTACGCTTGACACTGGGTGGAGCTACCACCGTCTTGAAGTGCCAATCCCCCCATACCGTCACCAGTGACAGCTGTAGGGAATTGGCTCTGTCTACAGAGGATCCTGTTGTCTTGTAGGATCCTCCATAGACCTCAATGCTGTACCCTCCGCATGCACGAGAGTCCAGCAGTGACATTGACTTCT